AAGAGAAGAAAGAAAGAAAGAAAGGAAAGATGAGAGAGAGAAAGAAAGAAAGAATCCCAGGCAGGAATGGGCACAGCTCCCCATCTCCCCTCCCCTCCCCTCTGTCACCCAACAATAAGGACATCTTCAGGACCCCTATCCCTGCTGCCTTGGGAAAACTCTGCTTCCTGGTCAAAGCTGGAGAAGAGTTGGTCTGTGGGGGAGAGCAGCCACACCCCCAGGATCCCCCAAGGTCAGCCTCCAGGGCAGCCAGGATTTGATCCTCCTCTCCCTTCCCCCAAACACACCAGGGATAAGTGGCAGCCATTGATTTTGCAGTGCAGATGATATTTTTAGCTGGTCTTAGCATCAGCTATTCCTCCCTGCCCAGCCACACTCTTCTACCAGGCCTTTGCCTTCTCAGGAGCTGGGAATGGGCACCCCTTGGAGATCCCCTATGGGGTTCCCCTCCTCCCTCTGCACACTTCCCTTCTCCATTCTCAGCTTCTCCCATCTGGGAGAAACGCCTCCTACACTGGGTCTGACCCACTTCTGGTGACCTTACAGTGGTGGGCAGGGGACCCTTCCCACTTATAAGGCCTCTACTGGGCATGCTCCTCCCAGCACCCCTCCCTTTCACGCCTCTCCTCCCCACCCCCATTCTTCTCCCCTCCTGCTGCCCGCCACCCTCTACTCACTGTCCAGGCAGGGCTCACACACGGTCTGGTTGGCTCCACAAGGCTGGGCCACACCTTCGCCCAGGTTGCAGGCTTTGCAGCACTCGCCGCCGTGTGTGTACAGGCCTGTGGGGCATGCCTCCTTGGCACCTCCAAGGGACACCTGGATGGAGGCAGATCAGAGGGTCAGACTGGCAGGAGAAAGGCGGGGGGCTCTTCCGGGGAATCAAACAACCCCTCCCACTGCCTTCTATTAGAACCACCTGGGCTGGGATGAGCTCACCAGGGAGGCATTAGGCACATCAAAGCTGACAGGGGAAAGGCAAGTGAGGGACAGTATGCCTGTGCAGGCTGCTGGGGGTGTGAGGTCAGAGCTTCAGCTGCTGACCTTCCGCAAAGTTCATCTTGGGGTTACAGCAACTCCTGGAATCCCAAGGATACACCACATGGGGAAGGTGGCCTGAGGCCCAGCGGAGGGCCTACCAACAGGGATGTCATCGGTGGTTGGACAGGTTGTAGCTTGCACAGGGCTCCCAGCCAACGGGGCAAGTAGAGCTGAAACCTAGCCCAAACTCCATTCGCTAAGCTTTGACCTGCAGGGCTGCATCTACCCAGAGGAGGGCCTTTTTCTAACAAACGCCAGCAGGACCCTACTCCAGGTTCTTAATTCCACATATTAAATAATAAATGGGAGAGATCCATGCCCAAGAGTAGAAAGCAGAGGGTTAGGGTCTTGGGTTTGAATCCTGAGTCTGCACTGGGGGTCTTGCCTGCCCAGCTTCCCTCTGAGTCTTCATCTCTTTACAGAGATGGCAACAGCCTGGTGCCAGGGCAAAAGACCAACTGTTTGGCAAAAGCCTGGCACCGAGATGGAGGGAAGGGAGACTGTTATCAATGATGGGACAGTGGCTGCTCTCACCAGCCAGCATCCCTGCCCTGCCAGGGTTTGATTTTCAGCCACCAGTCCTCCCCCTCCCCCATGTGGTCACTGCGAACAGCGCTGGAACCAAGGGAAAGGGGAGTCAGGTTCCTGCCACTGAAGCATCTTTGCTCATGGATGGAACAATTTAACACCAGATTCCCCAGGGGGAGGGGCTGCTGGAGGCTTGCTTTATATTTCTGTTCCTTAAAAAAAACTTAATGTCTAATAAAACTCCAAAGCCTGCTTTGCTGGCTCCAGACCATGCAGCCCTCATTTGATGCTGAGAAGTACGGGCTCTGGGGTCGTGGGACTAGAAGGAAGCTTTACAAGCTTGTTTTGGGCATTCTGCTTCTTCCACATTGGCCAGATCATGGCCAAGACACTCCTTTCCCTCCAGCCTTTTAAAATATCCTGCAGTCTCATCAGGGTTTGGTGGGGAAGGAAACAGAGGAGTCAGGGGGATAGACAGGTTAGATCAACCCATGAGGGAGCCTGTGGTCCCCATGAGACCAGCAGAACAGGCACAGGCAGCAGAGGAGGGGGAACCTTGGTGTTGCCACACCTCCTCCCGGGCAGCAACATACTCAGTGCTGGGAACATCTGCAGACCAGGAGGCTCAGGGTCCCAGATGCAGGCTTTCCCTCAAGAGGCAAGATTCCAGAAGGGCCTGTTCTGATTTCTTTTCATCCCATAGGGCTCTGCTTAAATGTCACTTCCTTGAGGAAGTGGTCCTGTGGCACCCACACCTTGCGGATCAGGTGGGGCTGCCACGTTACACATCCAGCCTGTTCTCCGGTTCTCTGTGCTCTTGCCTGGCCTGAACTTTATAGACTCCCTCACTGGACTGTCAGTTCCCTGAGGGAGCTGGATTGCCCCAGGGCCTGATGCGGTATCTGGCATGCAGTAGGGACACAATGTATACACATGTGGAGTTGAAATACACGAAAATACTGTATGACCTCAATTACCCAGAACTCTGGGAGAGCGACTGTTGGTTAGCTGAGATTCCCGACTGCCAGGCTTTGCTGCTCTCATCATTTTTCCTTTTCACCATGGTGGCTGCACCCTTCCCTGTCTCTGGAGCAAATCTTCATGGCTTCCCATGACTCAGGGACTCTGGATTTACACCAGCGATTATTCTGGGCTGCAATGCAGGGAAACTCTTGTGTTCTTTGCACAAATTACCACACTTTTGTCTTTTTGAGTTCTCCTGTCAGCCCTTTTTTTTTTTTTAAAATATAGTTTTTCTGTTTCCTCCCTTCCTGTCAAGGTATCAGTTGTCACTTCTTGCTGCTACCAGTGTGACCTGAAGCAGCCCTTCCCCCACCACGCTAATCTATTTAAGGTCTAATTGAATATTCGGAAACTGTGGAACTCGCCTTGGTAGAAAGGTATGTGCTGCACGGGCGTGGTGGCTCACGCCTGTAATCCCAGCACTTTGGGAGGCCGAGGTGGGCAGATCACGATGTCAGGAGATCGAGACCATCCTGGCTAACATGGTGAAACCCCGTCTCTATTAAAAATACAAAAAATTAGCCAGGAGTGGTGGCAGGTGCCTGTAGTCCCAGGTACTTGGGAGGCTGAAGCAGGAGAATTGCTTGAACCCAGGAGGCAGAGGTTGCAGTGAGTTGAGATCGTGCCACTGCACTCCAGCCTGGGCAACAGAGTGACACTCCGTCTCAAAAAAAAAAAAAAAAAAAAAAGAAAGGTATATAAATAGGATCTGAACCAGGAGGAGGCAAGCCTCTGAGTACAATGTGTGAGCTCTTGCGCCACTCTGAATCCTGGCTCCTCACTTGACCTGGGTCAAGTTTTGAATCTCTGTGCCTCAGTTTCCTCATAATTAGGTAATGATGACAGTACCTGCATCATAGGATTGCTGTATTACACAAGTGAGTAAGGTGTTTATGTACTTTGGGACCCCTCTTTTCTGTCCTCCAGGGTCTACTTTGTGGCCATTGGCTGTGTTCCAGTTAGCTGGGCTCTGGATGGCTGAGGAAGTCTGTCTACAGTGGTCTTGGGTGGTGTGAGGGCTTTGTGCAAATGCCCCTGCCAAGACGCCTGTTCTCCCTGCTGCAGCCTGAGGTCCTCTCTCTTCTCTTAAAACTTGCATTTGGAGTAGGGGCCAGATAATTAGTAACCATGTGTTTCCTGTGCTTGTTTTATGTTCCCTATGTTGTAAAATCCTAGATCTGCTTCTTAATAGTATGTTGCTAAAAAAAAAAAAAAAAAAAAAGTATGTTGCTTTGGGTAAATTACTTAATCTCCCTAAACCTCAGTTTTTCTCACCTAAAACATTGGGTTGATAATGTCTACTGCCGAGGATTGCTGGGAGAATTAAGTGAAATAATTTATGCAAATATGTCTGGTCTATAGTAGGAATTTAGTAGGAATTGAATAAATGTTAGTTATCAAAGAAGCATCTCGTCTTAGGGAGACCCCAGGCAGGAGGGGAGAGTTCAGCCAAGTAGGGAGGGGTGACTAACATTCAGGCTAATTGCTCCAAAATCAGATCCAAAAGGATTAATTTATAGGAATGACAGATACATTTCCCTGAAATTTGGTCATTTCACATTTGACAGAATGATTTCAGCCCATTTTAAAGAACGTTTGTAATCTTTTTGTTTTGGCCATTTCAAGGCTTACAAGGAACTAAGGTGGAAGGATCCTTAGATGAATTTACTTTTTAAGAATTTTCATTTTTTTTTTTGTTAGAGAAAAGAGAGAAACAGCAAAATAATTGAAATTATTTGAAACCATACGAATGTTTCAGTATAATCAGCCCTGGCCATTCACAACAGCTTCAGCAAAGGGCTCTTAAGTGAATGGGGCCGTGGTCACCGCCATGGGATGGGAGAGGTTTTCAAACACCTGGAGGGCCTTTTGAGGTCGATGCAAACCCACGGGAGGCACTGGCACATGCCCCTCACTCCCCTTGGGTAGGGGAGGAGTTGGGAGGAAAGGAGCTAATTACCCAAGATAATGTAGCATAGAGACTTGAGAGGGGGCAGGGGCACTGCGTGTGGAGAAGGGGCTCAGATCTAAATGTGTGGGGCCAAAGGCATAGGGCACGATTTAATCTCTCAGAGCCAGGACTCCTTCCATGATCCGGAAGGTAGGGGGCGGGAGGGAGCCTGGCATATGCAGGAAAGAGAACATCCTGGGTTCCAACAAAGGCGCCACCACTCACTCACTGGGGGAGCCTGGTCTCGGGCCTGAAAGTCTGCAGGGCTCTGTTTCCTCATCTGCGAAGTGGGAATAGCGAAATTCACCTTGCTAGGACCTTATAAGGATTAAATAACTCAAGAGAAAGTACCAGGGCAAGGCACGTAGTAGGAACTCAGCACATTCGATTATTCCCGCCTCCCCACGCGGTCCTCCAGGGAAGAAGCGAGGCGCTTGAGCCCGACTGGGCTGGTACAGTGGGGTGGGGGCCCGTCCCCCCACGGAGCTGCCTCCCCATCCACCATCCACCCCAGCCCAGCCCGGCCGCTCACGCACGCCCATTTGCTGCCCTCGCTCCATCCCTATTAGGCGCATTAGCCAGCCCAGCGGCTCTGGTTACAGACGTCTGAATGACAAAGTGCCTCCATTACCGGCGCGGCCCGCCAGCAGACCCGCCGGGACGCGCTCTGGTTTCAGCCCTCTCTCTCGCGTCGCGTCCCAGGAAGAAACTCGGACCGCGCACAGCCAGCCCAGACGGAGCAGCCGTCCTCGGAGGCGGAGGCGGGAGCCGCAGGGGCTGCAGACGGCAGGTCCACCTTCCCCAGCGCCCAGGCCCTCCATGCCCAGCTCCCCTCCTTCTGGGTCTTCGCGCCTGGACCCTCGCTCCTGCCCAGACCCGGATCCCACGTAGTCGCCCCTCTGGGATCGGGACTAGAGACCACCCCGGTCCCTCCTACCCGCCCTTCTGGTCCACGCTCGCCCACTCGCGTCCGAGCAGCGTCTCTAACCAGCGGGGTTAGTCAGCAGATGTGCCCGCGGTCGCTCCCAAATCCCCGGACTCAGCCACGAGTCCTGACAGTTCCAGGGAACCCGGGCTGAGCTTTCGGACTGGGGCCCGCACCCGGACAGGATCTCTGTCCACCTCACCCGCAGGCTCTACCGCCGCCTGACTCTGGGGACAGTGTCAACCCCGCCCCTTCTGGAAAACGCAGCCGTGACCCCGATCTGGGACAGCGGCTACCCCCTGAAAAGATGGGGGAGTACCGAGTTGGGACTCAGGTCGGGGGAGTCTAGCCACGACTCTGGCCCAACTTGCTGTGAGATCTCGGCCAAGTCGTTAAAACTCTCAAAGCCTCAGTCTCCGTATCTGTAAAGCCGGGATCTGGTGCGCAGTGCTCAGATGAAAGACGCTGGCAGGGAGAGTGAAGACGCCTCCTCCATTGCCAGACCTTCCAGGGCATTCGGTTCATGGCCATACAGCAGGCCACATCTGACAATCTCCTCGGACCGCCCGGAGGACCCGCCGACCTTTGCCGAGTCAGTGGCTCGGGACACCGCGCGGCAGAATCCGAGGCGTCCGCGCGCTCCCGTCTCGTTAGGTGCCCAGCGGCTTGCACCGAGAGCCAGGCGAGGCGCAGACCGGATCCTGACCCTTCGAGGAGCTGGAGCCCACGGAGCGCTGTGGGCGCGGCGCTCGGGTCGCGCAGCTGGGTTGGGGGAGGCGCGCAGCCCCAGACGCTCAGCAGCCGCGGACTGCACTTGTCTCGCCCCGCAGCGCCTCCTGCCGGCCGCCTCCCGCCTGCGCAGCCAGAGCGGCGCGCTTTCGGAACGGGTCCCAGCCTAGCGCGCCCGGGCGCTCTGCACCCCGAGATGTAGCCACCGCCAGCCCGGGTAGGAGCACACCTGGTCCGTCCCTCGCGATCCGCCACGCTGCTTCAAGCCGTGAGAACACGAGCGTCGGAGGAGCCCGTCGGCCGTGGGGGAACCCCAAGAGCGGGTTCGCCCCGGCGAAGTGGGCACTCCCCTCCCAGCCTTAGATCCCCAGCCGCAATTCCAGGACTGGGCGAGGCCGCGGGCAGGAGCGCCGGGACAGGCGCTGGAAATGTCCAAGCCTCCGCTCTCTTCTTCTCTCACTATCCCTCAGCGGGCAGGCGGGACCCTGACCGCTTTAGGGTCCGCGGCCCGCTCCGTCTGCTTTCCTTTTGCTTCCCATCTCTCTGCTGCCCTCGCCGTCGTTCCTCTTCTGCCCTCCCTAACCCACTTCTCAGCCGCTCTCCAGCTCCCCAACCTCTCCCTCCGACGCCCCTCCCCCCCATTGTCTGGCCGGTCCCCATTGTCCTTGTCAGGTCCCCTCTGTCTCCAGTCCCTCCGACCTCCTCCATTGTTCCATCCCCTCGTCCTGGGCTCCCCGCCCCAACCCAGCTCACCCCTCACATCTCTAGTCCCCGTCCAGTTCCCCCTCCTTCTCTCGCCTTGGTTCCGTCCCACGACTCTCCAGAGACCGAGATGCTGAGGGGAAAGTCCCTTCGGGATCCCGACATTCGAGTGTCCTCTTCCGAAGAACCCAGGCATCCGAGAGCCCCATGCCCCCTCCTGAAAGACCCCTCCCAGCTCCTCCACCGCCCCCTGCGGTACCTGACGAGCCGCAACCGCGCTCCGGTCTTGCCCGCATCTCCACCCTGGAGGGTCGCCTCTGCGTTCCGGGAACCCTAGACCCTCCTTCGTGGTCCTGACATCAGAGACCCTCTCCCACCACCCACCCTCAGCATCTGGGACCCCAGCGCTCTGTTCTGTTTCCTTGGTGGCGCCGCCCGGCTCTCCTCGGAGTTCTGATCCCGGGAAAGGGAGCGGGCCCCCTCCGGCTAGCACTCACCCCCAGAAGCAGCAACAGCAGCAGGCGCGGCCCGTCCATGGCGCGGCCGGTGGCACCTGCCCTCATCGTCCGCCTCCCGCGGCAGCGCTCGGTTTCCAGCTCGGTCCGCTCTGCGGACTGATGGGGCTGCGCTGCGCTGCGCTGCGCTCCAGCGCCCCCCCGGCCCGCCGGAGCTGGCCGCGGCTCAGCTCGCTCTGACTGCAGGCGGGAGAGGCTGGGTGAAGCCAGTGCTGCGGCCCCGCCTCCGCCCCGCCCAGCCCGCCCACCCCCGGAACCGCGCCCGCCCGCCCCGCTGCCTCGGGGTGGGGAGCGGAGGCAAAGGGAGGGCGTGTGGTTCCCCGCACCCCGCTGCCGCTTCTCCCCGCCTTGTCCCTTAGAGCCTCTCACCCATCCCGCCCTGGTACCCAGTTCCCGGCCCGCACTACTGCGCGTCCGTCCCGGATGCTGTGGGCCCGGGGACCAGGGCGTCCCCACTGCGGTTTCTGTTCCTCTCCGGCTGCGGCCCGCCACAGGGTTCACTCTCTTACCCATCTTCCTCCTTCTCTGGCTTCACCTTCTCCCTGGAGCCTTGCTCCCTACCTGGCCCCTATCAGTAAGAATGCCCGCTTGCCCTCCCTGCCCTTCATCTACGCCCATCACCCCACCTCCTCCCCTATTCCCACCCCTCCCTTTCCCAGTGCAGGAGATCCCTGGGCAGAGGCCTGGGGGAGGGGAGGGGCGCAGGCGGCCTGACCTCGGCCATCGACATTCAAGGTGGAGTCCATTCCAACATCATTTGATTCTCAAATGAGGGGTTTGAAGGGGTCACAGGTGTGCACACAATGCACAGGAATACACACTCTCAAGCTCACCTGTATGTGTGATTGTGCACTTACGTGTGCCCACACCGTCCTCATGCACTCCTGCCGACCTGACTGTCATATACATGCACCTCTCCAGGCCTGCACACGGGCACATATGTGATCCGGACATTCAAATGCACATACCTACGCATTCACACATGCATGCATACCGTCGCGTCTGCGTAAGTCCTCTCACGTATACAGTCACACAAGCACACACACATTCATGAGCGCGCACACACACTGACACCCATAAACAAACAAACAGATGCATCTTCAACAATATAAACTTCACCAGACTGTGAGTGTCTCCATGAGCTTATGAGCTCTGCAGGCAGGGATTATGGTTTCTTCTCTGAATTCCTGGTATACAGTAGGGTTCAAGAAAGTTCAGTAGAAGGGAATAAACAGAAAAGTGGTGAAATGGACTCATATCTGTGTACCCATCCATGTACTAGGACCAAACTCGTCCTGCCCTAGAATCCTTGCCAAGTCCAAATAATATGCCTCCCAACCCAAAAAGTATGCCACCCACCCCCATGCTTACCCCTTTCCTGTTCCCTCCATTTCTTCGTTCCCAGACATCGTCAGGACCCTGGCACACAGAGTTGATGGGGGTGTCTGCAAAGCCCATCCCAGCACCCAAATCTTAACCAGGTTCGGATTTCAGTTTCCTCCTTGAAAAAAAAAAAAAAAAAATCTCACTACCCTCCCCAGTTATGGAAACAAAAGGGAGATCAAGAGTGCTTGTGGGCCAGGCACAGTGGCTCATGCCTGTAATCCCAGAACTTTGGGAGGCCGACGCGGGTGGATCACCTGAGGTCAAGAGTTCGAGGCCAGCCTGGCCAACATGGTGAACCCTCATCTCTACTAAAATTAGCTTGGCGTGGTGGCTCACGCCTGTAGTCCCAGCTACTCAGGAGGCTGAGGCAGAAGAATTGCTTGAACCCAGGAGGCGGAGGTTGCAGTGAGCGGAGATAGCGCCATTGCACTGCAGCCTGGGCCACAGAGTAAAAACTCCATCTCGAAAAACAAACAAACAAACAAATAAAAAAACAGTGCTCATGAAGAGGGCACGTAGTTGACTTCCAAGACTGGCTGAGGCTAATTCATTCATTCATGGGGGGAAAAAATACCTGTCCTGTGAATTTCCTTCCTGTGTAACCCACAAAGTCCAGGGGACAGCCCTGGCCTGGAAAGGACAGGTAGACATCATTGTGGCTTTCAGCATGAATGCTGGTGAGCCACCACCTTCATGGCTGGTCATAAGAGGCCAGACAACAAGCACCTCTTCAGAAATCACCGAGGAGTCATTCTTTCCAGACAGGGACGGCTTCTAAGATGTCTTCCTCCCGCTGCTTTTCTAGATCTGCCTTCCTCTCAGCTGAATTCATAAAAGGCAGGAAGAAGGGGCAACATTAGTACTAACAGCAGCATCGAACTGCTTACGATGAAGGGCATCGACAGTGTGGCATTAATTTAAATATTCCTGTTATTAATTTATGATCCCAGTTACTATTATTGCTAACGTTATCCATCTCAACACAATTTAATATGACCCACACTACTATGGCTGGGCCTGGGTTATTAATAATTTCCATGGTCCTGATCATTTAAGCCTTACTCAAACAATTACAAACAGCAATTGTTACTATTATTAGCAGTATTTCTATGATTAAACCCAAGTGCAAGACCACTATGTAATGCTGAGTGCTGGCGGGGAGAGTGGCTGCAAAGTGTGTGGAGGAAAGAGCATTGCACTGGGAGTGGGACAGGCCTGGGTATTATTCCTCCCTCCCTCTCCCCGATTGCTGACTCCTCAGGCAGATTACATCACTTCTTTTGGCCTCACTTTTCTCATCTATCAGATGGGAATTTTGAAAGGGCGTGGTGAGGATCAGATGAAGTAACACTGTGTTCATCACTCTTCTTTTATTCATTCAACATGTATTTATTGAGCATCTGCTGTGTGCCACACACTGTTCTAGGCCTTGGGGATTCTGCAGGCCTTGGGGATTCATGCAGCTCTTTATGAAGCTGATGTTCTAGTGTGTTATTTATTTGATATGAAGAGTTATTTTATTTTATTTTTATTTTTTGAGTTGGAGTCTCACTGTCACCAGGCTGGAGTGCAGTGGCACGATCTCAGCTCACTGCAACCTCCTTCTCCCTGGTTCAAGCGATTCTCCTGCCTCAGCCTCTCGAGTAGCTGGGATTACAGGCACGCACCACCACACCCAGCTAATTTTTGTATTTTTAATAGAGACGGGGTTCACCATGTTGGCCAGGATGGTCTCAATCTCCTGACCTCAGGTGATCCACCCGCCTCAGCCTCCTCAAGTGCTGGGATTAGAGGCGTGAGTCACCGCGCCCAGCCATGAAGAGTTAGTTTGTAATGTGAGGTCTTGGCTTGACTGACCATACCAGACAGCATGGATATGATCAGGATATTCCTTTGCTGAGACTCCCACTATCACCATGACTGCAAACATCTATACCAAAACCA